TAAGCACGCCTTAATCTAAGGCTCTAATGGGAAGTTTAAAAACTAAAAGCTGAAGGATAAAAACAAGATTGACTCTCATCTTCTTACGCTAGTGAGACCTATCATGTCACCTTTTTGAAAATTTTATTTATTAAGTTTATTTTCATAGTAAAATGACAGATCAGCACCAAGATAAACGTTTTGTGTATTGAGCTCGATCACCTTCCAAAAAATTGCCGAATTGTCTGCACCTATCTGACTAAACTTTTGAACTAAGCTGTTGGCTTCGGCTGACTGTGTAAGGTGACAGCGAAGCGTTATCCTTTATGAAGGTACTGTCGCAAATGTCGCTGTTACTCAAAAAGACATCCCAGGGGCACATTACTGTGGTTAAATGTTGGTAAAACACACACACGCGCACACACACCCTATATATATATATATATATATATATATATATATATATATATATAGGTGTGTGTTTGCGTACTTTGGGGCATCAAAAATAGTGATATTTACGGAAAAAGTACTATGGTAAAATTTACCGACAAGCTTAATGCCCTTCAAATGGTGCGGTTAGATTTTGGTATTTTAGGCCAATATCTAGGCAGGATTATTCACTCCATAATGTTCACTATGTCTGCATTCAATAGCGACTCCCATACTCGACCAAAAGCAAAAGAAATCCTTATATATTTTACTTATTAAACTGTAGATTGCTTGTTGGTAAAGAAATACTTTTGATCAAATTTTTTGGCAATTGCTCAAATACCACAAGAGCTGCTTAAAGCGACATGGCTGCTTGTGAACTCGTTTTTCTCGCATCATGTCACTTGTAGCGTGAAGTATCAGCCAGAGTACTCACTGACATAGTTGAATAATGGCGGCAACGCAACATCTTGGATACGTTTAATACGTGATACATGATCTTGTTCGGGGATCTTTAAAAGTTCTCAGAACATGGCTACGCTCATTTTATTCTTCAAGCTGTTGGAGTGCGCACCACAGAGGAGCTTTCACTGGTTCGACTGTGGAGTTATCGCAATTCTGATTGCAGCGGCACTTTTGGTGCTAGCTTGGTTAATAATGGAAACATCTTTCTCTATTTCGTAATTGAGTTGTTGGACATATGAAGCCAACCTTTATGCTGTACATATTATTAAAGGACGCAAAACTAAGATACATAACCCTACAATATGCGAGAACACTAAGGCTAGATGGCAACATTTACGTTGTACAGTCTACTTCTGTATTGTAGGATGCAATGCTGTGACTATGGCGCCATACTAAAAAGCTTATTGTGAACCTTGTATGGCAAAACTCACTCCTACAAAATTTAAGCGACAACAAAATTAGATAGTCCGAGCTATCCAGTTACTACAGTATTAAAACAAAAAGCTACGAAAGCAGGAAAAATCACGTTCCTCTAATAAAACCCCTAGTGAAAATTTGTATTATTTTTTCCGGTTGCGATTTCGTAGCTTTTATCTGCTGTTAGATGTTCTTTTTGGTTGTAACATATTTAAAACGTTTTTGCGCACAATATGTTTGTTTAAATGTATATCATACATGCGAAGTTATGTTTTATCCTTTTGCTAGTCTTCTTAGCTGAAAAAAATCCACTTCTTATCTACCAATTCCGAGGCAAAATTTTAATTAAAAAAATTGCTTCTATCTCATATATAGAACTTATTAATTCGGTTAATTGTAATAAAATAATATATGGCTATGTGGTTTAATGGTAGCTTCTGCTATTATTTTACTTGTTTAAAATTCAGGGGAGCATTTTAAGAGGATACCTCTCTGAAAATTACAAGCTATTAGCACGCTTCAAATGATCTAGAAGTAATTACAAATATTCATGAAGCATTAGTTGGTCACTCACTTTCATGACAAGCATACTTTCCGAGGAATATAAATATATAAAACGAAGGGAATCCATTCCTGAATTAGTTGGAAATCGATTTTTTCGCTTAATTTTAATCTAAATCTTCAATAGTTGTTGATATACTCAATACTGAATTTACACGTTTCGTAAAAAATGTATTTTATTTTATATATTTTTAAGAAGCATTAGCATTGTTAGCGAACTAATACATATAACATTCATAATTCAATGTGTGGTCAAAAACTACATTCTCGATGTTTATGAGTCATTGTTTCACGTAGGTAATACGTTGGTGATTTTTTCAAAAAAATTATTGCTGAAGAAGCTGCTGTAGCTCGCTTGGTGAAGGCAAAAAGCAGTATATGGCTTATCAGAAAAAGGTTGTAACATAACTGAGCTGAGTCAGCAATTGTTGTGGACGAATAGACTTGGCGCACCAGTGTTATCAATTAAATTCAATAAGATTTGTTAGGTTGATCGTGTAGATTACAAGAACGATTACAAGACACCATTCGATATGTCGAGAAGGATGGCATAGTCAATAGCGCGATCACTGCATCAGCCTAATAGTAATGTGATTTCAATCAACGCTGTGGGCTACAGAATATCTTTCGTATATTATCCCCACTAGATACGATAGTGGCAATGAACCTAACCGTGAGCAAAGCGTACTGTATAGCGGCTGGCTTTTCACGTTTGTCGTTCGTAGAACAAATGAACACTGAATGGGTCCTATTCTTATAGAGGAACATAGAAGGTTTACATTAGAAATAAGGAAGTCTTCTTCTAATAAGGAACAGGCGAGTTCCTCGTTGAGGGTTGACGGCATCTACGAAAACAATCTATTCATTAACCCATTTTTGGACTTGTTTTAATTAGTTCACCTATCAAGCCATAAAAAAAATTCGACTTTTGCTAAGACTCACCCTCTTGTTTTTAAAGTCTTCTCAAGTGAATCCGAACAATTCAAGACGATGTGGCATAGAACTCTTAGCTGTGCAAAACAAGTATTCAAGGTGACTAGGCTCAATTTTTAAGCATGGATCCTGCAACTGATTGTTAAACGCTTTAGGCGGCCGTTTAAATAGTGTGTTATGGCACAAACTTGGACCCCAAGCTCAAAAGGGCTAAAATTAATTTCAGAAGAGCTGTCAGATACGAATCATCATTCTGCTCCAATCTAGCACACAATCCTCATTACCTCAGCTGCACCAGCTTTTCCCCGTAGCAGAAAAACTGTGAGAACGGCGATGCCGAATGCGCTGTTTTCTAGTGCTAGGATTTGACAAGTATATTTAAGATCTAAATCGCGTGCCTTTATTTTGAAACTAAGGGACTAAATAAAACGTCCACCTGGCTAAATTTAAGAATTATGACAGTAATGAACGCACATTTGCCTCGATCTACCAGTTAAACTTTTAATTAAGCAGGATTATTAAGAAGTACCTACGCCACATTCGATACACTTAGAGCCTTGTTTGAGAGCTCTGCATAACTACCTGCATATCACATTATTTGTCTATTTAATATACTAAGTGTACAGTGCATACTAACTATGCGCGTATACTTAGTAGTATTTAAATATACACCAAGAACTCAGGGGTCATTGGCTATAATCACAAAAGCTGTCAGCATATATGCAAGTAATCGTTGGAACAATATTTTCCCCTAAAATAACACGCATAGGATAACCTTCGTCCTTATAACAAGACACCGATGTATAAATATTCAAATTTTATATTAGTTAGGTCAGAGTATGGTTAGTACGGAACGGTTTGTTACGACTTAAGTAAGAAGAATAACCGTTAGGTTTTAATAAAAAATTAACTTTAACGGCTGAGTTTAGTCTCTATTCTCTTTTGACCAATTTGATAGGTCCTAATACCTCAAGTATAACTTTTACGCCATTTACTGCAATTTAGAACTAATACTGCAAATAAAATAACGACATTATCATTGACGTCATTGGACCGTATAAAAATACGAGTTCCTAAGGAAAAGGGTGAATTTTCAACAATACGCTCTATTCGTATTTTATCATTGAGCAATACTGAAAAGTTCAACGGCAAGTTTCATAATTGCGACTCCAGCTTTTTAGGGATCCCGAGTGTGCAATCTTAAACTATATTCTGTATTTCTAAGCCTCTGAGGAGCACACTGCCATATGTCATACGGTGGCTAGTTGTTTACAGTCAATGACTAAATAATACCGCATCGCGAAATTGCCATCGCGAAATAGATTTTGTTAGCAAGTTCTCATCGATTTTATTTAACTACTTATTGTTAACAACCCCCGACATCGTATTTTATCTAATATGGACACTTGGTTTTTGAACAGCTGAAAGGCACAGAGCACGTTTAAGTGGATGAAGATACGGCTATCGGATATAACGGGTCATACATCGTTCTTCACACATGTAACGTAGAGCACACTGAAGTTACTTTGACAAGTGGGTGCCTAATATAATTCTTTCAAAAAGTACAACAGAGGTTGCAGCTCAACATGGACTACGTTAGATGTGTATCAAAAATATACTATATTTTCACTTCAAAATCAGACTCCCGCTCCAAACAGTGAGAGCAGAAGTAATGAAATGCACTATACTGCTCTTTCCGTCAGTTCCAGAACCCCACATTTTGTTCTTAATTAAAAAAATTGCTATTGATTCCTTTCGTGGTAGAGTCTATCTAGAATAAGGACAATGAAAATAGAATGTGAGAACCTGTTGAAAAGTGCATCTTGCAGAGGTTGATCAGTCGGTATCTAAGCAATTTTTCAATTGGCAAGTGCTACTTGTACGGAGATACGGAGATCCACTTCTACGGATGCACCGAATGATCCCAGACATTTTTACAGATTTTCTTCTGAATGTACAATTTTTTTCTAAGGATTTTTGTTACTAAATGTACGCATTTTTGCTAAAACTGCACTACTGCCGTCTGGCCATTCACGTGTCGCAAACACGGAATACGTAGATTTCCAGTACACTACCCATCCAGTAAAAGCAGATTGTTCTCAGCAGGTTCTCTCACTCACTGCACTTTTTATCAACCGTATTATCGCATGTTTATTGGAATCTTGATGCAGGTCACTATAGGTGACAAAAGCCGACTAAAGGAAAACCAGCAGGAATTAATGTGTATCAAATAAATAAAAATCTATAGTTTTATTTACAAGCGTTCCCATTTTAGCAATAGATGCTTTAAGAGTGTATGATGGAAGCCTGATCTTCGGCAGCTTCATCCTAGAAGCCTCGTTGGCTGGCGGCCCTTAATGTCAACTTTTGAAGATCGCAACCCACTTTTTAAATGGGCTTTTATGACTTATTTACAGCTCATCGTGATCCTCGGATTTTTCCTCTTTTTCTTCGGACTTCTCGTCGTCTTCCTCACTGACCTGCATATAAAGAAAAAATGCCTTAGTTTTCAGCTCCATAAGAAGCTGGTCGTGGATCAGGATGTATTACATATATAATTAATTACCTTGTTGCTGCACTTCTATTAAACTAATAACTTGTTGCTGCACTTTTATTCGCGTTCACTATTTCACAAAATACATCACCCTCGCGTTTACTATTTGATAAAATACATCACCTACGGGGAAAATACATCACCTTCTACGGGGTAAATAGATACGTAATACTTGCCTCATCATCTTCAGGTGTCTTGTTTTTTTCAAGTTCCTCCTCCATACGCTTTCGTTCCTCTTCATCTTTCTTTTTTTGTTCTTCATCCTGTTCCTCCTTCATTTTTTTCTCGGCATCTTTTAGAGAACCCCAGACCTCCTCACCAAATGATTTTGCCAAATCCACGTCGTCAGTGATGAGGAAGTTATCAAAAATCGTGCCAGATTTCACCTGCCAGAGGTCGAGGCCGATGTTGCACAATTCCTTTTGCACATAAATCTTATCGTCGGCCTGGTACTCGGGGTTGTCAATCTCAGGATGGACCCATTTGCCTTTGAACGCAGGGTTGTCGATTTTCTTCGGCTTCCATTCGCCTTTGTACTCTGGGTTTGTGATCTGAGGAGGCTCCCATTCGCCATCCATCTCATCGTCCCAGTCCTCTGGTTTCTTCGCTTCGGGGTCAGGAATGTACTCTGGTTTGTCCCAATCTTCAGGCTTAGTATCTGAAGGATCATCGATCTTTTCGCGGTCATCCCAATCCTCTGGCTTTTTGGCTTCGGGATCCTTGATCTTCTTTGGTGGAAGGAAGTCCCAGTCGTCCTCGAATGACCCAGACTCTACCTTCTCATTGTCAATTAATACCTCGTATGTCTGATCAGGTTTAACTATCAGAGTGTAAAGATGAGTGTAGACATCATCTTTACAGCGTATTTCCTTCTTAATAAGGTGGTTCTTTCCTTTGTAGTTGAAGATCACATGAACCTTTTTTGTGCCAGGTCCGCAGATATCAGGGCCAAACATGATCCCATAGGGTGAATCACCGTTCATCTGAGTCTGGTCGAGATCGCAGGGGAAGAGCTTTACATAACCACCTCCACAATCGATGTTCTGTTCATGCTTGACAGTGAATTGGATCACCTGTGCGACAAGATACCAGAACGGAGAGTTATGCGTTTGTAATTAAGCATTTCGGTTTCATAGAACCGTTAAATAGAATGGAACGCACCACGACTAGGTTAATTATGTTGTCACTACTTATCGGATGTAAAATCCTAATTTCTCTTTACCGTTGGAATTGCTGACCACTGTTGGAAGAGCTAATCGGATCACGTGTACATTATTATTCGTATGTTGTATGCATATATGCATACATCTACGATGCACGATGTCGTTAACTGGTGTTGGATATCAAACGCGGTTAAATCAAATTTTACGTATACAATACATGCAAGTTGAAAATAGTCTGTATCTATTATGAATATGTGAAATCGATGAATACTACGTGAAACTAAACGTTTCTATTCTATAAACGGTGCAATTTATTGCTAATGGCAGCATTTTCCTTCACATGCTACTTTACTACTAAACACCGAAAGTTAACAAGTAGCACATACCAAAGGCTTTCCTTCGTTAGTAAATTTCTTGAAGTTTGAAGATATTCCATAAAACCGTGCATCTTGTGAGGTCTTAAGTCCTTTTGACTTTTCCGCGTCACCATAGAACCTGCCGGCAGTCAACTCGAATTTGCCGGCTTCGTCTCCTTTGAAGGTAGACTGCACCCACCTTGTAGTGTACGCATCTGGAAAATCGAAGAATGGCTATTGTCGTATTCTTGAAGCACTGACTACACAATGGAAAGTTAGTTAGCTAAGGTTGTACTCGTCGAGGTTAAGTCCAATGCACTTTAAACAAAAAAATGTGCAGAGAATATGTACATCGGCAACTCGTTAATGTATATAGCCAGTTTTAGATCACCGGCTCTATCTACATTATCAGTCTACCAAATATTTCCCCACCGCCGTCAAGAAGCGTGGGTGAACCTTCTAGAAGAACCACGCGTGCCTCGTAAATTGCTTGTATAAAGCTCTACTCCGGACAGAAATTCATCTGCTCTACGACTTCTATGCACACGACATTATCTGTCTAGGCCCAGCAAAGCTCCAACGTGTAATTCCAATGAGAGCGGCTACATAGCTTGGTATCAATACCGGCTGACCGACGAATGTCGACGTCATTAAGTATATCGTGCCCGGCAACGCGGTTCAAGTCTGTCTGACCAAAATAACTCGGAACTTACTCTATCTTGGTAGTTTGTTCTGAACTGAAAACAAATGCCAATAGGCTCTCACAGACCGACGTCGTGAATTTATCCATCCCACGTCAGCTGACGCTCTGAATGCTGTCACTCAGCGGTGTCGATGAACTCTTTTCACAATGGTGAAAGCAAAAATATCGAGGAAGGTGTAGAGATAATCAACCTAAAACATAACATATTTTAATAAGTAGCAAATGCTTGCGTGACTTACCGCCATCCTCGAAGGTTTCTTTAAAATAGACTTCAGCAGTGGCAAGCCCCACTAAGAAGAGTAGGACAATTCTACACATTTTTGACAAAAGCCGCCCCACCGACAACCACAACGTCCAACTGAGAGTCAACTAGTGAGGCCCAGCACCCTATGCCAAGCGATGATATACCACAGGGAGGTTCCACACGGCGGGCTGTGATTGGCACCCAGCCAGCCAATGGCATTGTACCACGACCCAACGCGCGAATTTCGAATTTAGCGCCGCGTGTCTCGCGCCGAGGTTGCGTGAAGTATGCGAAAGCTATTTTACTTGATGTTATGTGTTTCTGTAACGGTACGGTAGTAATCTGCCTGATATTACAAACATCTTTAGCTTTTGGGCTTGAAATTTAATTGTTTTGTCTTTTTTCTTTGCAAATAAATAAGGTTGAGACGGTGTTTAGAACAATGCGCTTATCTATTACAAAGTATTCTAATTTCACAGTTGTATTGCTTGTGCTCTTTGTTTACGTCTAGTGTAACAACAATATCAAGTGGCTGGCGCAGTAATGTTGACGGTACAAATCTCTCTACTCCCTCTAATGTAGCAGATAAAGCGACGCCTCTGTAGGATGAAGTGTCTCTTGTACAGCTCTGGCGGGAACCCATCGATCGATAAAATTATTCGTGAACTCTAAAGTTGTGTATCTTTAAATAGTTAAAGGCAAATTTTTATGTGATTTTAACAGGATTTAAGTAGGCTTCTTTTCACTAATGAACAGTAATTGACAACATAGCAAATTCGCTAAGACGAAAAGAGAAACCGACGTGGATTTGGATGCGTTCCTTTTTCGCTATTGCGGCTACACAGACAACCACTCCTTCATGCGTAAACGTTTAGTAGTATTAGCTGTTTGAATTCGATATAAGCGGTTGTGCTAGAAAGACCTGTATAGTTCACCAACGACGTCTTGGAGAGGAAATTGCTACGATTTAAAATCAGAGACGAGCACTATCAATTTCACGAATAGATACCGAATGCTTGATTTTGCCAAATGCAATGAACATGGAACAAGATAGCAATATTGCATAGAAGTCAACTAAACTAGGAGAAAGGAGTCCCTGTCAGAGCGTAATATAATGATGGATAATAAAATAACAACGTAGGATGCAGGTAGCGCGAGTGGATGTTATGATTTTTACTACATATTGATTGCGTAGCAAAAGGAGATTTTTTTATGACTAACAAACTTACTGTTGAAAACTCTGAATGAAAACATCTCTTTAGAACCATTACGCCAAGCCACCTTGACGGCTATTGCAACTCGTAGTAACGAGTAAAACATAAATAAAGAGAAAATACTAATAGGATTCAAACATAGGCGATCGTCAAAGACGATTGCATAGAGGTTATTTAGACCAGAGTTAATTTAAATGATCTTCAGTCGAACATGAAAATCTCAAGCAAAGGTAATACAATAATAATTTTTAGGAAATGATTAGAATTTTTACTTATTCGAACCACATATGGTGGATCCTAAAAAGCCAATTGGAATTCACCATAACTCGTTCCTAATAAAGAGTTTTAACATGAAAGCCTCGCTAGAAGCATTTATCTCAGAGCATGCATGGTGATCTAATCTACCGAGGACCACTGAGTCAGCAAGGCTGTGATCTGAACGCAGTACATTCGCCCCAAGGATGCTACGAAAAGGTTACCACGAGTCCGAGTGAAGAGTCCAAGGTACTCCGTATATCCCTGCACTTGCTTGAGGCTGTCATGAAGACCAAGTTAAATTATGCGGGAAAGTTTGATTGTATGGTGGTATACGCATTGATAAAAGTATTACACCTAAGGTCAGTTTAACTCTGCTACGACAACCGCACGGTCAAACAATACCCGTATACGAGCCTTACAGCTTTGAAAAGTAATATCTACCTCACGATGACTTCACGATGGAAAATTTTTCATCGCCGTTGCCAGCTGGCTGAATTTTAACAATACTCTATAATATCTAGCTGTACAATAAATATGCTGAAGCTTGATCGGCCTCTCCTACAAAGTTAATCTTATCGTATTATTGTTAACTGCCTGAAGAAATTCTTAAAACTTAATCATGCAGTGACTTTTCAGATATTGAGTCGTTATATTTTCAAGAAGTGTTCTACCGTTAGCTGATTTTGTCTGAGCACTATATGTAGCATATCTAATTGGCCAACATGTACGTTAGTATTTCTCACCTTAATTCACATAATGCTAGATTCTTGAAGAGGCTAAACGTTGTTTTACCATGCCTTTTTTCGTCTTTTGCACGACGTAGAAATGCGCTAACGTCGAAGACATCTAGGGACCATTTACTGGTAAAACCAATTTTAGATCCCCATCTCTTCGTCTTGAATCGCTTGTTCTTTAGGCGTTGCAACGTTTGCCGAAAAAGTTGTACCCAGATAGCTTAACAAAATATGGGCTATGATTTGCGTTCAAAGGAATTTTTATTTGTTTCTTTTTTTTAGAATTGTCTGGGCCGCTGAACTCTCTAGGAATTAGATATGGTCATATAACAAAATAATTTCGCCCTGTTTCAAAAAGGCTTTTCCAAGGCTTTAAAATTCTCATTTTCTGAGCTGAGCTAAGTTGCAGTCAACGTTACTATACAGCACCCTTGCAGGTTCTATCAAATGCATGAGTTGTCCATCTATATTGGGCCTCATATGGGTTAACCCATTCATTTCTGCACTGAATATTGTAGCACAACTGCCTTTTTCGTTTCCAATACCGACGCCAGGCCAAAATCATTTTATTTAATATATGAACAATGAAATGCACATAGCAACGGCCTTTTACTTGAGAATATGTAACACTCACTGTCCTGCCATAAATAAGCCACGTCCTAGGCAATTCGTAGCAGTGTTGCAGTCAATTCCGAATAAATGTTTCCACTTTAGTATTCGGTACTGCCATAAAGGGTTGCTTCGGAAGGCTGGGTTCTCAGCATAAAACGATGCAAGCCTATGCCCAGGTTCGAACATGGACAATGGTATACTTCCGTGTTTAGTGGGCAAATACGTTGCCACTGCGCCATTCCGGGGGTCGCGCTTAACTCTTACCTACGCGAAAAGCTACTTTTTTTTTCATCTACCTGGACGTAGTTCGTCGGACTTCGGTTCTGGCAAAATTCCAGGACGAAATTTATAGTGCAAATAGAACTCATGATGAACTCTGAAAGGGTGAAACCAGCTTCGGCAAACGTTGCCAGATACCGCTGTGCATTAGCCCCCATTCTCTTATAGAATTTTCGCCGGGGGATCCGCATCCTCTAGCCTAGGCTACACTTTTATCAGTAGCAGCGGCAAAGTCGAGAAAAGGGTAGTGTTAGAAGAGGACGAGAACAGTTGCCGAGCAGTTTTTAGCCCACATGATTTGTTCGCATAAAAAAATTGTTTTAAATTCAACCAAAATCCTACAATAAACGAAAAAAGAGAAAATTGTTGTCCCACTTAAAAGTAGGACCTAATACAACTCATATACTATACATAACGTATAGTATTGGTTTTGCAATTAAGAGACCGTATCACTCTTTACTAGAAAATATTGTAGTAAGGAGCAAGCCTATTAGGCGTGACAGTTTTAGAAAATCTTTGTCAATAACTAAAGTGTTTCTGATCTAGGCTTTCACCCGGAATCACCATACAATTTTTGCGTTCACATCGAGGGTTCGATCAAAAAAACACTTATTATCGATCTATTATGGATAATTGGGTGAATAATGCAAAGTGGCAGTTTTTCTCAGTTGAAGTTAATTCATTCATATATTCAACTATTATGTAAAAGGCCCGATTTCATCTGGATCAGTGTTATTGTTATTACGAAACAAAAAACCGTTGAACGCATATACTTATCTTAGAATTCCCTTTTGCGGGACGGTACGATACGAAGGGAAGCGCACAGCGTAAGAGTGAAGTGCTAAGTGGTCCATAAATGTAGGTATGTATGAAAAAAATACTTGTACCATTAAAGTAGACAAAGCACAATATATCAATTATAAATACATCCTAGAAAATGTCGTAATTTCAAATATGTCGAAACTGCAATTTAACAGGGAGGTGATTAAGCAAATCTAGCTGGATGCAAACTAGATCCTACTATTGAATACGGTCCGATTTCATCTACGCCTGTTCCTCTAAATTTAACCCAGCCTCTCATAGGTGGGGTTTTAGAACGTAGAGTCCTTATTACTACATCTTGTTGTTACGATAAATAATAACGTCAACAAATTGCAGATAGAAGCCCGTCTCTCCGCTTCTAGAAGTATCATATCTAGCATGAATTCAAGCACAGAGGTGCGTTTTTGTCGTATCTGTCAGCTGTTTCTTAGCAACTGAACCTAAAATAGAACGTTCCATGCGAAAAGCAGAGCTTCGTTAACTGCAACTTAATTAAATGGCTCTAAAACTTTTTCATATGTTTAGCTTTCTTAGAAAAATATGGTAACTAGATGCGTAGGCTCTAGGAAGCACCAAAATAGGAGCCAATTCATCATAGAAATTAGAGGATGGTAGTAAATGATGCATCGTACGATCTGAAAGCATATCAGTGCTGAGATATATCGCCTCAATAAAAGCATATCGGTAACAACAGTTTCTTTATCCCCCGATGGTAACTGAGTAAAAAACCCCTCTGAGCCAAAGATATCATAGGGCGCACCACGCTTTTTCACAAAAAAAACTTTCACAGAGCGGCAACGGTGTCAAAGCTTTCTTACGTGAGTCTCGAACACTCATTCACTTTAATCCTGCTTATTTGTTTTGCAACTATCGCCATATGTACAATATGCCCTATTGCACAACAGGCAACAACAGAGGGATTCTTGCTTGTGCACATGACACTTTTGTTGGAGCTTCTATAAGCCTATCGCTATGACGCCAGCTTTTTGAGACAACTTTCAAACCATAATAGCAAAAGCGTGGGAACGACAGTTTGAGGCTCTGCGCTATACTCATACTCAATAGAAGTAGCTCCCGCATGTCACCAAAGCCTTGACAACTTATCTATAAGAAATTGTTAAAATATCAACATTATATTAAAATTTCTTTTCAGTACTTTCGGTAAACCTTTATATCTTAATTTTTATCGCAGTGAAACAAATAAGTTACCATCTGAAAAGTTCACCGTCCTCCATTTTATACTGGTTCCTTATGTATCCATAAGACGAATTTGGCAATCGTCTCTGGGTTGTGAAAACCACATAGGTTTATGTGAATAGCAGCACTACAGCGACGTTTATTTGAAGCTTTTTGACAATAGTTATTAAGGTCGAGACGAACATTTGAAGTAATTGAATTATTTTTAAGACAAAAGCAAACTACTAACCGATCTATAGCCTAGCCTCAAAAGTATCTAAGGTTTTTCACAAAAAAAATGTTTCAAATTAACGAAAATTTCATCCATGCACCGTTTTTTCTTGACGACCTACGGCGAAAATTCTAAAAAGAATGAACTTTAGTGAAGACAAATGTAGTTTACAAGTAACGCTAACGGTATTAAAGTGTAATATTTAAAATTGCAACGAAATCGATAGCCTTAAGTCAAAGAATATAATTGAAGTTCGAAGTTCCTTCGCCTATCAATTCTGGAACAAGATCCCTCAACGTGTGTGGCTTCATCAACAGATTTATCGTAGTTATATTTAAAAAAAGAGAAAACAATTTCTCAACTGTGTCCATCTTTTGCTTATACAAATACGACCGTTTTCAATGCAGATAAAACAAATTAAAAACTATTCATGCAACATACACAGTTAATTTATTAGATCTTTTGGTTATTAGTTGTTACAATAATTCCAATACAACAATAATTTTTATAATTTGATTACAATGATTTTTGGACCTGTTTCAGGCCATGCGTTACGCCTGGCGATATCGATATTCCGTATGTGCTGTAACCGAACTGCAGCTTCCTTCTCTCCAGAAAATTCGCTGCAGACGCGCGCAGACGAACTTTGCCTTTGATCTTTAGCAGTTCCTAAACTTGTGTTGTTGCAATCAGCTGTTATTCGTCCTGCGTCTTACTCATTCTATTGATTTTTAGAGAAAATTGTTTATAAAAGCACACTTTGACATAACTCTACTTTTTTTAATAAGACTTATGGGTGACCAAGACGTAAACGACCGGCCGTCATACAACAAGAGCCAGCAAGTTAGAGTAAGTTCGAGCCCTATTTAGTCACTGTACAATCTGCTTTGTCATTAGCTTCTGATTTAGCGTCCATTAACTTCGAATGATTTGTACCTACGGACTGACACCACAGACTATTGTGTTATTTGAATATTTCAAGGTCTAGAGCGTTGCTTCTGCCACATATTCTTGTCTCATAATGTTTACCACAAACAAATCTTTAACAGTTTTCGCACCTACGCATATTTTTTAGAAAGTTGTTTTTTACTCTATATTAGGAATTATTTTCGTTATCTTTTTCGTTAACATACAATTTCTAGTACATAATTCTTTTAAAAACAGTGTTTATTGTCCTGATGTTCTGAAATGTTTAGCTTTTAGATTAAGCTGTTTTATAACGTAAAAATATCTACATTAAAACTAGTTTTCCATTGCATTTTGATTACAAAGATTAAATTACACGATATCTAACTACCATTGAGGTATATTTAAAAGTGTTTAATTTGTAATAGCACTTTTGATAGTGAAGAGGGCTTCAAAAACTGATATCTGAAAAAGGTTTCCTAGATGAAAAACGTTATCACTTTTTTGACCAACCTGATATAAAAGAACGTACGCTTGGCTTTAATAACGCGTGTAGCTTGCAGTGTCATTATAATAATCCATGGGTTTCTACCGGGTTAGTTAGGCGGAATATGTGTCAACGTCACGTGACTGTTGCGTATAAAAGAAAACCAAAAAAAATTTGTAACGGAATTGGAAGTTAAACTTAGCAACGAAATAAAGGATACTGGTCGAATATTAGTGATATTTTTCCTAGTAATAGATAAATATCCTAATAGCTATACGATATCCACTGAGGTAAATGTTACAATACAGGCACGCACCCGCGGGGTCAAATCCAACCCAACTACAATTGACGAACAACGGGCAGAACTTGAGGAATATCGATATAAATTAGATATGTTCGAGTCAAGGCTCCGAAATTCGTCATTTATGGATCCTGAGGACAGGCGAACTTTGCGGGAACAAGTAAGTTAGTTCTTAAATATATATACCTATATAGCAAGCTTAAAAATTCTGCGCTATAAGCCAAATAGCAACAGTCAAAGCAAGTGAGATTGTGGGTTCGCGCATTTACCGCACAAAATAGAAATGGTTGAGTGATAACACGGAGCAAATTAAAATTACTTTTTTTAGGGAAACAGTTTATACTTTGAAGAATTTAGTGTGAAATGTACGCGCATACTACGTACAGCAGCTTCAGTTTCGATATTTTCATATCAAACGTTCTCGCCACCGGCTGGAGAATGCCTGTTCCATAAATACGAAAATATATAATCGCTATAGCCAAATCATAGGGGTCCGTATTCAAGGTATAACTCACAATCGGCACCATACGCAAGTTCATCAATTTCCAAAACAAAAATCCGCAATTGATAGTTTACGTAGTCGCCAATAATTATTAATTATGCTGCTTCTGAAAAGTTCGAGGACGGCACACGTCTTTGGATGCTCCTTGGATCGTGGAATAATCTTAAATCATCAAGGAATACATATTAGGCGATACTGCTGTCTTGAACGTGTATAAGTTGTATATATATGCATATATGACGCGTTTGAGAGTGAGTCTAGTACATCTAGATATGTTATTCTTATGATAAATATTGAAAAATCTTTTGTGAATTTAGCGAGCGAATTTTTTTAAAACGACATATGTACAATTAGAGGCGAAAATATCGTATTATTAAATATTAAATTTCGAAAAAAAAATGCAAAGCCATGTCGACCAGATATGTATATAGTTATGTAATACTTTTATCGAATAAATAAGATACAATAAAACTGTATCCGTCTATTGGTAGGTTTAGGCGCGATCCGCCCATGCACATTTCCCCCTCTAAAGGACCGCTCAACTACGTCGTTGTTGGGGGCAACTACGGGCTTGGGGGCAGCTGCTGATCATACCTTAAGAAATGCTTTGAGTTTTAAGCACTGCATTGAATTTGTTCAACACTGCGACGACAGTTGCATGGTTGTGGTGCATGACCGTGAAGAAGGAGTAGGATAGCGAGGGATCATAGATCCAAACGAACGAATGATCCGAATGTTACGTTCGATACAGCTAACTTTCGCGTGCAGAAGGGAGGTACTATAGCTTTCCGTATCGCTGTTAGTTGTTGCTGTGCTTGTCTGTTGTTTTTGTTCGTCATATTCTATAATTTGTGTATGCAATGAAAGTATGGACAGTGTAGTAGGCATAAAGCAAATAAGCACCGATGCGACATTGTCCCCTCTCTGCCTGCCGCTTAATGTGGGAAGTATTCGATCATCTTTCAAAGACGAACGTTAAAAATGCTAATTGTTGGCTTTATTAAAGCGCTATTTCCCCTTCTAATTCCTTAACAGGTAATTTATAAAATACGGTTCTGGATACTGGTAATGTAGTTGCCGCTAATATCTTTACCATCCTTAGTTTACTTCCATTCCAATAAGTTCTGAGGGAAATCAACACCTCACCAAGCTCGACGACTCTAGCTTTTGTTCCTTGCTATTACAATTAACCATAGATTTTTCGCATTTTCGCCTCAAGAAGCTAACACTCTAAGGTAAACTTTAGCGATCAGAGAAGTCATATCTGCACTCGATTTAAACTGTCCACTAAAGATTGAAACCACCTGACTCCTGGATATTTGCTCCGGTCGCGGTACGACGAATCGCTGACTCTGCTAACTCTTTTTGCACGCTTCACCAGTGTTCCCCGTTACGCCCCCGTCGTGTTTCATTTTAACGGCAACAACGATGATTACCCAACGGCATCAGGAAGATAATCTTTATATCTCTTGTTAGCATTTTCTCTAAACATCATACCCACTCGACAACAACGACAGTGTTTTAAATACTACCTCATTCAGACGATTGCCTTAGGATTTCTTTCTAAGTAGAAAACAAAATAGATAGTTATCGATGACCTTTTAACAAAATCAAGTCTAATCGCTGCCTTTATAATGGATACACTCTAGCTTCCCGATCGTAGAAAGGCTAATGTTGCTTTTCCTGAGTCATCGCTTGTTCGGGTGTATTGTTAGCATAAACACGCCTGACTTGTTCGAGCGCTTTGCACGATGCCAAATCTACGCAAAGCATCGTCCTGTAGGCCTTCTCGCTGGTGTATACGTATGTCCGACAGAACTTGCCTATTTTATTTGAATAAATCTAAAAATCAACGTGTGCCGTGAGAAAAGGTGGCAGAAAATACGTTACTTTACCGGTAGACCTCGACTAGCGTTGCCTGAACATTTTGGACGATCTGCGACGATGGCACCTGGAAAGTATCTAGAAATAGCGCTCCGTTCCTCATATTAATAGTGATATAGTAGTAGTTTTATATATATATATATATATATATATATATAATAGTGATTAATAATAAAGCTAGTGACCTCTCTGGCGCGTTTTAGCGATTCATTCCAGATAGCAGCCTTTAGCTTCGATGACACGGAGCCAGCCACCACAAAATAACCTGGTTGCTGACTATGCCCGGGTTACCCTGAGCGTGAAATGTCGGTAAACTTTTCAAAAATGGGTCCTTGTTATTAAGGCCATAGCGTTTGGCCTCAAAAAAACGCGATTGACTGGGCTGTTACGAGAATTCTGAGCCGCTTTTCATTTTTTCTAAAGAACGTTTGCCATAATCCTGCACAGTTTCGTCGACGCTTTTTGTAGCGTTGGCTTTTTGTCGTTTATTTTATGTGTGCTGTATTTCATGAGCGAGATCGATCTGGATTTCTAGGTATCTAGTGATTTTAGTCCTGTTTAAATGTATAATGGTAGGTCAAAAGTTAAAAGGTCCTGGCGTGCCTTCTTACCGACTAACCAAATCTTTCCCGGCTTAGTCGGAGACTGGAATTATGTGCCTTCATTAAACTGCCCAAAATCACTAGATTGATTTTACCCGGTTTTTGCACTTAGAACATGCCTCAAGTAAATAGGTACTTGAAATATCTGGTGTTCATCTATTTTTTCGTATCAAAAGCAAATGTCTTCAAAAATTCAAACACGAATTTGGCATTTACGACAGCGTATTGTTGAACTCTGTTCGGTCGTTAATGATTAACATGTATATTTGATATTTTGCATGAGGCTGAGACCCCTTAGCTCGCTGTAACCTTCTACACAACAGTTCACTCTAGCAAATCCGTTTGTTTGTTTAGTAAAATGCTAACTGTTACTTCCATTTCAGGCCAAGGAGGCAAGAGAGCACTTGAGGAAACTGGAATGGCAAGTTAACCGTATTCATCGGAAGTCTCAAAAGTCATTTCTGATAATTTTTACTATTTTTACTCTGTTTATAACACTGTACATATTTCTTATGGTCAAAACGATTTGGAAGGACGAAAAGAACAGCGAGCGTATTACGTAATTACGATTAATATACTTAGCTAGGAATTATCAAAATGACAATAAAATCTAAATCTGAAGCAATTTAATAATTTCGTACAACTATTTTTTATGATAATGACACGTTAGAATTATACTGTTACAAACTTTTTATGTTTAGCCCTTAACAACAACCATATTATGACCGCATTTAGATAAATTAAAAAAGCGCAAGACATTCACAAGGTTTCCTGGAAAAGAATCGTTACTTACTATAGATCGCTCGACTTGATATGGTCAGTATTATGATTTAATAACCCAATAATTTGCAATGCTTTTTAGTGCAACACGTGGTATAAGCAATTGGGCGTAGTCGAGAGCGTATCGGATTCGAGTTTAAGTAGCGTTCTCACTGATTCTATCGATAAGACGTAACTAGCTGACATTTGCTGGGAAATAATGCGTCAATTATTCCTTCTTTAGAGTGAGGGCCTTCACTCCATAATTGCTGAGGCTCTGAATTTTTTTTTATATGCCTCATACTCACTAAATTTCTGTCGAAGGAAACGATTCATTATGATTGTTGTAACTTCTGTTTACGGCCAGCCATAGGTTTTAAAAACAAACATCTCCGCACGTGTAATATTGCAAAACAGGCCGGATACGTGAAAACAAGCATACATGAAGCCTTTACTTGTAAACTGAATGTACATCATTGAAGAACGGAGACGTCTGTCTCCGAGAGCCGAAGAGAAATTTCCGCTGTTTAACCGTCTAAGATACTGTCAATAAACGCAGCGAACGCAATTGTTTACTTTATCTTATGATGCTTTCTTTTGTTGCTAATGTCAAAGTTGCACACTTCAATAGCGTACATCGTGTTAGATGAGAAGCGCATTCTTGAACCTGGAAATGTTTTGATTCGGCGGTGAGAACGCCGATGTCCATAATAACTTGTGTCTTGGGCTAAGAACAATCAACTTAAACAACTTTTTTTCAGCTAGACATATTTTAGAAACCGCATTAATCTGCTGACCATCTGAACGAAGCTCTAAATCCCAATTCCAATCTTTTTGACCCTATTCATATCCTTTAGTGCTATAGTAAAATGAGCTGTTAGTAACTAGCCAATAATCGAGTTACACAATTATTCGTAAAAGTCCATTAAAAATAAGGCTCGAGTATCCTTTATTTTAGAGATAACCTCTGCTTTCGGTAGGTGCAAAACTTAGTAATATAGCCGCGCATGAAGGTCAGTGTGTCTCCCAACCAAAGTCAATTTAACTTAACTTCCTTTTACTTATGTTTTGCGACCTGTGGGACAGCTGTGTGTATACGAACTGCTTGTATGTATCACTTCAAACTCATTCTTGCTAAAGCGTCCAACTGGCGCACACTTGTGACGCATGAGTGTATATATAAACATTGGAATTACTGACAAATTTAATTTTGCGTTGAACGTGATAATAAAGAAAGATGGAACCTAATATGAAAAGGACAACCCCGAAATTCTATAGTGTAAGATTCTTCTATCAGTAAGAAAATGTTTACTGATTTCTATTCAAGCATCCGAGGATCACAACTCGAGTATTAGTGGTGCGTATAACTATCGGAAAGGTGCGTCGTGCATACTGATATTAGGCAGTAAAACAAAGCTTAACGACGGTTCGGGACGCAAAACTCGAAACATGTATATGTATGTATACATATATGTATATATTAATACTAGCAATGAAATGAAAGCTACCCTAACTCTTACCTCAAGGTAGCGGTTAAATTTATTTGTACTGCCCATTGTAAATGAAGCTCGGTGAACATTCGGCAGATATAATATGTCTTACGAAGCCAGCATGAATCATTTGGTTTTGCTTCCACTAAGGAGTTTGCAAACTTTACATTTATTTTGTACGGGCGAAAGAAAATCTATTTAGTCTTTTGTCCGACTTATGCCCACCTTATCAACACGCATGATTACTCAAGTAACGAATAATTTCGTTAAACATTGGGAGTTCTGTAGGAAATCTATGTACAGCGATGAAATGGGATCAGCGTCTTTCAATAAGTGAAATAGTGTATGATGTATATGATTTATGGTAAGTGTAGGCTGTACCTATTTTCTTCCGTAAAAACGTACTGCTATGGCCAGTGGGGGCGTTAGTTTCTACAGGTCGTCGAATGCCGCCGATGCCGATAAGGATGGTCAACTTTTTTGACTCGCTGAGAATGGGGTGTGCAGCATGGAGATGACGTTTGTTCTCATCTATCCTTTAAACAGTTTATTGATTTAATTTGATCTATTTTTTATGAAAGAAGGTGTCATCGACATAACATACACAACCACTGGGCAGAGGGAATAAATCGATAAGAGGCTTCTGACCGAGATCGTACGGATTCACTGCGATTAAAGGGTAAAGCATCTCCCGTTGTTTACACGCCGTCTTGTAACATGGTGGCATATAATCGCATGGCTTTTCGCGATACTTGCATTTCTCAATGCGAGCTGTTTGAGGAAATCTGTAAAATGAACAGGCAACAAAGATGACGACTTTATTGAAGAACAGATAATAGTCCTGTTGAAGAAATGGTTTTCGCATTTATACGCAAAGCGTGCATAACAACCATATAGATGCAATGAATATACAAAGCGTCATTATTTGCTTGAAATTAAGCCATGATCGCTCGCGGTTTGATGTCCTGTTACCAATACAATACTACCTTTCTGTATTGACGACGGCTTTCCAATGGCCCTTGTAGTTTTTGGCCCAACCGATGCGAAGATAAGTTGCTTCTGATTTACACGCAAAGTCGCCGTGGTGTTTTTCATGAGTAAAGGCATTCGTGAAGTTTTCCACCCATTGCACCTAGCCAGAAAAAAATCCATAAGGTTATCGTCCTATCCTCAAAGCCAGAATCATTTGTTGTCATCAAGTCTTACGCTGAAACATCATTATAGTACTTTTCTGAAATCATTCGCCAAGATTCAGAAGATCATCATTACAAAATCACAAGTAGCTAGATAAACTTCCGCACTATACACATGTATTATTTGAACGACATAGCCAGTGCTCGTACTTCTTCGATTACTCAAGCTTCTAAATGTACCATCCTGCAGGGTGTAATTTGATTTATATAGGGATGCTAATTTCATTAACTTGTTTCAAGTTACCTCGTGTGGTGGAGTTTGATACAGCGAATGGTAAAGATCATATGTATGTGAGTAATACCGATCGACGATCACAGACACTTTGTCCCTGGAAGGAAATCAATTAGTGAAAGGTTATAGTGACTTTGTGACGTAATTTAGAACAACTGCAATTCGAAAATGCCTTTTATTCAGAAAACGCAAGTTATTAATCTTCGTTTCGACCCGTATTGCCACTGTGAATTCAAAACGAATAAATATCCTTTGAAGGATAAGTAGTAGCAGAATCCATTGTTACGTTAAAATGTCCTTTTGATTTGTTAAAGATAATGGGTATTTGCTTGCATTCTGATATGAAGTATCTTTTCGAAGTGCGCTTCTTGACGCATGTCACAAATTGGTAGATTTGTATCGCAAAAACGAATTTTTATTCAGAGCAAATAGTTAGAACTTCGTCTGTCTTTCAAGCTGTCGTTTCCCTATCATACTTTTGATGAAATATATAATTTGGTAGAAGCGAAAACGCCATAGAGCAAATGTTACTCACAATGGATAGTCATGGTTATGCGCACATAGGTCAAGCTCTCTTGCACAATGGGGTCTTCCTTCTATAAATCCTGGCGTAGGTAACAGGTTCGGTGTTTTTCCTGGTGCGGAGAGGTGAGGACCCTCACTAAGATCTTTAGCCTTTACGAACCGAAAATCATCCGCGCGGCTATGGTCATCTTCCAGGTATCGACTTGAATAACAGTTAATTAAAATGCAAATAGCTACGTTATCTCACTACAGAAAAGCTCAGCAAGATATTTTAGACTGGGTATGTTTTTGTAATGTTAAGACCTTTGTAATGTCTTTCTATTTTGATAAGGTTCGATTTTTGTCCAATCTCAAGAAGGTAAAGCCGGCATGACTGATAAATGACTGTATAGACACGTTCGAAGTTCGAATCCCTACAAAAATTATGCACATCTCTGCTAGAGCAAATGAACCCACTCTAAGTCTCAGATTTGATCTCGTTAAGTTTGTATTAAATTTAGTTATTATCATGCGTCGCTGTGCACCTGCGTCCATCCCGATGTGAGGAATAGCTGTCCCGATGGCCTGAAGAAAGTGAGTCCTTAGGATCCCCATGGTCCTTCTTGTAGACCACAATCACCGAACCAGATCCCGAAGGGTAAATCCTCTCCTTTGGAGATAGCGAACAGGATATCTCCTCCAGATACGTTGCCAATCCTAATAGTAGAGCTAACTTTACCTATGAGCAAAAAAGAGGCACCGCTACATAAGTCAGAGTATTGAAACTGTAAGAATTATGGTAGCTTTATCTTACTTTGTTAATAGATATAATAAACAAGTCGGTAATAGTGTGCAGCTAATAAGCATATGGAAACTATTTTGAGTAGTGATTGGACAATTCATGCCATGTTAGGTTGCCGACTTTTTAATCCGTATAACGCAAAAGACAAGCACTCTTCAACATTATAACACAACATAGCGTAACAACTCTATACTGACGGTAGACAAACAGTTTTATCCAGAGGGAAAGGATGTCATCTTAAACGACGGCCATTAACAACACCATTTTTGCACGAATAACACGCCAGTTTGCATTTCGTTTATATATTTTTCAATTTGCAATTCAAGCCTGATATGTTTAAGCAGTTAGCATATAGGCACGCGTTCCCTTATGTGCCCCAACACACCTCACGTCTCATGGCTGAGCTCCACATAAGCGCAAACGTTTTGCTGTTTTGCCACCAGGGCACTTGCTTACTTCTTCAGTAATTCGAGTTTTTGTGACAGTAATCTTTCGGACGGAATCATTCTTATAGTCGGACTCGTCCAATGACCTTGCACTTTCATTGCACCCTCGCACTTCAATCAGCGTCATAACCATACGGATAGACCCCCCGCTTGAACCATAATGATATTTCGACAGGGAGAGACAACAGTAACAGCAGCCACTTAATGAGTCGCCTCTCTGCTGAACTTATATCGGCCGGTAGGCTACCCGTCAGCCAGTGTCACATACAGCCCCTCCTTCTGCCCATCATAGTCCCTTGAGCTTCCGAATAACACGAAAATATTCTGAGGATTCTGACGATAGCAGTTTAGCATTTGTGTAACCATAGCTTCTCCCTCGAGAATCTCATACAGAAAAAAGCCCCTTCCACAAGCCGCGTCCCTTGCTTTAGTTTGTCTTTGGCACGCTTTTCAAAAGGGGCAGCCAGCTTGCCTTCCCTGATGATGGAAGTCACACGAAAATGACAGGAGGCAACTTCGTCATTTGTGCCTTCAACTGAACTTCTGCTGCCCTTCCCCAGCCAAAGATACGTATCTATCTCTCACTCCTTCTATTTGTCTGTTCATTTGTTCCGTTAAGCTGACCACTTCCTCCTCAACGTACGCCTAAGACAGTAGAAGATAACACTTGTGAATCATGATATCCGTGACAACGAACCGGTCCGGCGGCTATTTACAAAATAAGTTTTAGCATGACGTCTTAAGATACGCGTACACTGCTGCTACGACTTCGACGGCGACGGCTAAATGAAAATAGACCACCACCACCACCAGCTGTTATTAGAGTTATGTTACTTGCTTCCATGTGAAACGCGCATTTATTCTGCTATCCATCGTCAAAACACATAAAGACAAAGAACAATTGCATCTGACGTTAATTGGCATTAGCTTGTTCATCATGATCTAACTAAGCAATGGCTCACTACAGCGAAATCGTTCCGGAGAAAAACAAAGAAAGAACGGAAACGTTAAAGAAGAAATTAAATCAGAGACGCTATCAGTACGACTTACAGATACCACATCTGAGTGTTAAAGAAACCCTTGGCTTCGCTGCATATTGTCTCGCTGCCTTGTTCTCCGATAATTATATCAGAGCTGTACTATAATAATGGTATAACTTCAACTTAGGCCATTTCATTCAGAGCGAACCCCGTAGGGCCGGCTATTGAAACGAAAAAAGTTATATAATATTCGGATTTTTTTAACATTGTTCAGGTGATGCCAGTAATAGATCCCAGAATCGGACGGTCACAACTGGGTTTTTTCACCAAAGATCAGAACGTCTTAGAAAACCCACTTGCAACTACCTTAATGATGCATTAAAGTTGAAGTACTTGTAAGAAATTATATTGAATCAGCCGCATTTGAGAAACTGCGAACTGCGGCGAGATACTATCGTACGATTAACTTGAAGCTGGCGAAGTAACTGTCATTTATGCTAGAATGATACGTTATGATATTATGTTTTCTATATATGCTTTCTTATAGATTCAATTATATTTGTCCAAAATCTTACTCGGTAAGCTGATTTCTCATACTTAGTATAAATCGAACAACAGTACTTCTTACGGCTCAAAGGCTAAGTCGGTTCCAATGCCCCTGCTAGACATGGCCTGCATTCGTCTATTTGTAGACGATCCAATAAAAACTCTAAAAGGGATAATAAAATGGAGATCAGATAAGAAAAACCTTAGCGTGTGTCCAGGCCTGACGAATGGTAAGACAAAATTAAAGCAAATCGGTAAAGGCGCCATCTAGTTCTATGTCAAGCACTTCAGATCAAGCAATTCATTGCGATACTTGTATTACACATGCTTCATACTGCTTTAGCAATATAAAAGTGTTTTATTTAAAAAGAAACGCAGAACAGTACCCGAATTATTTACTTTAATTTTCCAAATACTACTTTAGCCGAGATTAACTCAAAAACGAGCTATAATATAAGGCGAGGGTGTACGGGTTAGAGCATGCGCATAATTTCCAGAAGGTGCCGGCTGCTCTTTCAAGGAGGATATTTGAAAGAAGAGAGTGTACCAAAAAATACAGGAGAATGCATGTTCATATGACTGAGTTAACCGAATTGTGCAGATTAATCATTATTTAATTACTAACAATATCGTTGTAAATCAAGCTCGGTTCTTTCTTTTTTACTTAGTCATTAAAGGTTTTATGTCCCGATAGAAATATTTATTTTTTCCATTTCGTCTTTAAATAATAATAAAACGCATCGCTCCTCATTGGTCTCTCAAAAACTACAAATAACTTAATAGAGCGATTTCCTACACTTGCTTCATGGTTTTAAATTGCGTGACGTTGAGGTGCAATTAGTTGATCGAAGTAAAAAACCGGTCGAATGCCTACTGGATTTGTTATACCTCCCACCAAAGCAGATCCTAGAATATTAACTTAGCCTAGTTTTAGTTACATTATTAAAGTTTTCAAAAAATGTAAGCCTCAAAAAAGCGCTTTCTGCAGTAACAATAAGCAGGCGTTAGTTTCTCAAGGTAGATATTTCAAAGTTGACCACTAGTTACTTTCGTCGGTAGGCTTACCCACGACAGCATCGTATCAAATAGCTAGGCCTATTTAAGAAAAATATAGTTTGCTTAGACCACGGAAAAGTTAGTGCTGTGAATTCTGTCATCGATATGTATATACGATAGGACGAATTATATTCAATCTGCTTTTGATTTTTCTAACTTTTCCGTCATTGTGTCCATGACTCGTGTCATTTTTGGTCACCATCTGTGGCTAATAAGAATCCGTTCTAACAAAGCTGGTATTAGCAAACATAGCATCAGCTGCGTCAACTGCTGTATTTTCAGAGCTGGTTCGTTTCACCAATAAAGGCTGTTATTAAATGACGCTTGGCCGGAAACGCGAAGGTGGTTCCGGGCTCATCTTTGTCATCTGACCGCGAATGAAGCTGGCCTCGCCTAACCTTGATGTGATTCTTTATAAGAAGACCATCGGATTCGGGAGAGTAGGGCCTACGTCACTGAGCGAAATCACTGAAAGCAACCCGCTAGTTGTATCAGTCTTCTAAATAAATCTTAAATTGTTCGCGATTATATAACAATGCAACATTCGCGATAGGCCATAGTTCTAATAAGCGAGCATGTATCCTAGTATTTCAAATAATAATAGTAATACACTTTCATGCATACGCAAATGTTAAATTTTTTAATTTCTTACTATGTTTCCATTGAGATGCGTTTACTACCTAAGCGACTCGCAGATAGTCTAGTATAGTGGTAAGATAGCTGTCCATTAGTTTTCCTATGACTCTTGTAGGTTATTATTATATATCCCACAAATATTATTATTAATATTGTTAGAGGCGGGTTGGCCATACACCACCAACTGAATGACGTAAGAATGAGCCAAATGCATGAAGTAATTTAGACTCGGGCTGGAATAAGAAATGTCTGGTGCATAAAGACTTTTTCAATAATGATGGGCAAGACTATGATGCTGCATATTTCCCTGCCGAATGTATACCTAAGCTGTTAGAGTGAACTAATTGCAACATATTCTACTAGTAGTAAAACTTATTGTAAAAACAAAGTCATTTTCTTTTGTTGGAGTACTTTTAAGAGTCTATTTCGGCTTTGACTTTTTGAAGTACTGCTTGGTATATGGTCGTCGGTGATGTCATAGATTTTTTCACATTGTCAACCAGTTCCACTATATGCTCTTAGTTTCGGATTTATTTAGTGGTTTATTAATGTATTGGTAGCAAAAAAATCTCCTGCCGATTGAATCGAAATAAACAATAAACCGCGCAAGAAGCTGAGCATGCTCATATACGAAGTAAAATTAGAAAAAGAACTCCGTTGCCGAGTGAGAGAAGTACCTAGCACAGCTTGCTTAGCAGACCATATGAAGCTCAGGGATAATAACTCAAGCAATCAGACACAAAGATAATGGTAAAAGTAGATGAAATTCTCGACTAGAAATACTGAGACATGTTGGATACTTGCCTGTATCGCAAACGTCCACCCAAGCTATCTACCCTTGAGTTACATATCTTTGATAAGTGCAAATTTGTTTCGTTTTGTTAATATTTCTACATCATTGCTGAAACGATGTCGAAGGGGGCGAATCCATTTTTGCGCCTATATATGTAACTAAAATATGTATATACAGTAAATTATGAAAATTTTTGTTATAACGTGATCTAAATTGAATAGATTTGCTGGAAAGGTGTTGAAAGAGTCTATTTGTAGCACTTTAGTCCGTTTTATGCAATTACTCTGCTGCAATAGGCTTCTACAGTAAATGATTATATACACTACTAAGACAAAGCAAAGTGTCACGCAAGGAGGTTTATCCATGCCTGTTAACACAAACCGTGCGCGAAAATGTTTACTTCTTAAAAGGGGCTTTATCTTTAATAAAAAAAAATTAATGGGTTTATGGCAGACAGCAAGGCGCACCGTCTGATTTATCGCGGATTGCAGGACTTCTTACTGCTAATTAGCATATTTTCTGCATTGAAATCACGCTCAAAAGATTTTCTAAATGGTTTTAGATTTTATTGGGGTTCCGTGAATTGAATGCTTTACATAACCCGTCCTCGTTCCTTAAAGGCTTCCCCGCTTTGTTTATCCAAAACAACGATTTTAATATAGATACCTACCACAATATCCAGCCCTCAATCTAACGGTTTCCAGAAGAATGTTCCTAATATTCGAAATGTTAATATAGTATGGGTAAAAATAGAACAACAATATTGGACAAAATTATTTTTAAAGTCGGCTTTAACTATTGATTGGTATATATTCATTTTATTATTAGTTTTTGTATGTTGTGTTGACTAACATTATATATATA